AAACCCCAAAACCCCAAAACCCCAAAACCCCTTTAGTTAAAAAAGCAACTGAATTTATTCCATAAGGGTGAGAAATAGTCAAAAATTGACATTTTAGAGGCATTCTAGAGCCCAAAAAGTGGAAATCGGCAAACCTAAGCCCAACTGAAAAAGAAACCTTATTTTAGTAGAATTTAAGCTATTTTTTCATGAATTTATTGTAATAGTTGATTCTTCCTAATATACCTCTTTTGAGTTCCAATTCTTTGGTGTTATCTAGATTTTAGTTATTAAGACCTCAATCAGAAAAGCAAGAATATTGTAAATAGCCAAAATTATAATGAACTTACTAATACTAGGCATAGTTGAATGTCCTAAGCTCTTTGATGCCAAAATCTGACAGAGGTTCCTTGATTTAGCTGGACTCATGAGACCTGAAAAAGATGAATTCTTTCCATTCCTTTTATTGAAGTAAACCACATTTTTATTAGAATTATTTGAAGCTTTTAGAGCAGTCCCTTGCTTCTTCTGAATCTTCTGGTCTATGCACAGGTTAGCTCATAAGTTATGCTAGTTATTATAAATCAAGGGCTACACTCCTAGATTATTCGAAATTTCAGCAAGCTAAAAAGTTCTTAATTTACCTGTGGCTAATCTTCTATCACCGAGTTTGCCTATGTTGATCAAAATTTTAGTGCTCCTGAGATTTCTATTGAAACGTTATTCAAATCTTTTAAGTTAAGAATTTTTAGAAATATTAATTTATGATAATTATTAAAGTATCCTGGTTTATCCATTTAGCAACGAAAACTAGAATTTAGCACAATATCAAAGCTAGGAATCATTAAAAGGGAGGAATTAGGATAAGAAAGGCTTACTCTTGATCAACAGTAGCTTCTTTGTCAAGATTCATATCTAAAATTCTGGATTTCTTGATAGCACTACACTGCATCTCAGATCTTCTCCCGAGCACCATTCACCTAGGCCTGTTATCAGGAGTCCTCTCAGAGCTCTCTGAGCTTTTAGAGAGATCTATGTGCTTTGGAGAACTCTTAGGTTTTCTGGAATCATAATTGTTAGATAAATTTGTTCGAAAAAGATGATTTCATTCTAAGGACCTTCTTATTAACATCTAGTGGTCAATCATTAAGTGAACGCCTTGTATTTCTCTTTGATTCCTCACTCTGAATGCTGGATACATCGCTCATCTCTTTGGCTAGACTTGAGTTAGTAGAAAGCTAAAATGATCATCAAAGCTGATAATTTACATCTCTATTGTTATCTCTTTGAGCATTTGAAGTAGGCATCAACAAGCTTTGCACATTTGGCAATAACACTGAGGAATCCTTGAAAGACTGCTGAAATCTTTTCTTCAGCTTAATAATTTTGAGCTTCTGAAGAACTTTTGATGAGCTAGAGTCATCCTTCCTGGCCTTATGCTTGGGTTTGATTACCTATATTAATATACTAATAAACTGTACTCTGAATTTTCTTCTAGTTTTAGATTTTATTTTTGCAAGATTATCAAACTTAGAACCCTCTAGCTGAAGGTTTATGTTCTGCAAAATTTGTCCAAGGCTGGAATCATTTGTTATTTTCATATGGTCGTAGTCATGAAATGAGGCTAACCCTTCAGATTTTAAAGGGATCTGATTGACTCTCGATGAATCTCTTGAGAATGCACAATTTTCAGCCATACTTATGTTGAGGTTCCTGCTTAAAGTATTATTTTATCATCGTCTTATCCACCTTATAACCTAGATTAGGGTCATTTCGAATTTTAAATAAGGGTATACCTTGAACAGAGTGACAAGACTTTAAAGACATCGTTGATTCTCTCTTCTTGACTCCCAAGTTAGCTGAGCATTGTCTGGAGAGATTTTTGAATCTCCTCAATTGAACTTGATTAGAAAGGTCCTTCATTTTTCTTTTTTCTATATATTTGATGAATATTGGGGTTTTGGGGTTTTGGGGTTTTGGGGTTTTGGGG